GGGGGTCTTGTCCCCTTTGTCAAAGATCATGTTATGATATATGTGTGGGTTTATTTCTATGCTCTCTATTCTGTTCCATTGGTCTATATTTCTGTCTTTATTTTATTTTTTTTAAGATTTTATTTATTTATGAGAGAGAGAGAGAGACACAGGCAGAAGCAGGCCCCATGCAGGGATCCTGATGTGAGATTCGATCCCGGGGCCCCAGGATCACGTCCTGGGTCAAAGGCAGGCGCTAAACCGCTGAGCCACCCAGGGATCCCCTATATTTCTGTCTTTATGCCAGTGCTACACTGTCTTAATTATCATAGGTTTGTAATATGTTTTGAAGTCAGGAGTGGGAGGCCTTTGGCTTTGTCCTTTTTCAAGATTATTTTGGCTATTCAGGGCCCTTTGTGGTTCCGTATGAAATTTAGAATTGTTTTTTCTATTTCTTCAAACAATTCCATTGGACGTTGATAGAGAATTTGTAGATCGCTTTGGTTAGTATGGACATCTTGATATTAAGTCTTCTGCTCTATGAACATAGTATGTCTTTCCATTTACTTGTATCTTATTTAGTTACTCTTGCAAGAGTGTTTTGTAGTTTTTATTGTATAAGCATTTAGCATCCTTGAGTTTATTCCTAGTATTTTGTTCTTTTTGATGATATTATAAAATGGGATTGTTTTCTTCCTTTTCTTTTTTTAGTAATACAAATAATAACAGCACTTATTATGTGCTTTGCATACATTATTTACTCAGTTTTCATTCTTCAAGTATAATTAACACAGCGTTATATTAATTTCAGGTGTACAATATAGAATTCAACAATTCTATACATTTCTCAGTGCTAATTACTCTTGTTCCTTTTATCAGTTTCACTCATCTTGGCACCACCTGCTCCTCTTGCAACAACCAATTTGTTCTCTGTATTTAAGAGTATGGTTTTTTTACTCTTTTTTTCTTTGTTAATTCACTTGTTTTGTTTCTTAAATTCTACAAATGAGTGAAATCGCATAGTATTTGTCTTTCTCCAACTGACTTATTTCACTTAGCATTTTACCAAATAGGATTTTTTTCTTAATTTCCTTTTTGCATTACTCATTGTTATTGTACAGAAACACAAGTGATTTTTGTATGTTGATTTTATATCCTGCAAACTTGCTGAATTTTCTAATTAGTTCCAACAGTTGTTTTTTTTTTTTTTTGTAGAAACATTAGGATTTTCTAGATATAAGATATGTGATCATTTAACCTCTTTTTTCCCCCTGATTTAGAAATCTTTTATTTCTTTCTCTTATATAATTGCTAATAATATGTTGGATAAAAGTGGCAAAAGTGCGCATCCTTGTTTTGTTCCCTATTCTTAAAGGAAAGACTTAAATCTTTCTTAAAGGAAAGACTTGTACCTTTCAGTTTTTCACTGTTGAGTATGATGTTAGCTGTGGGCTTTTCATATATGGCCTGTATTATATTGTGGTAATTTCCTTCTATTCCTAGTTTTTTAAACGTTTTTATCATGAAAGGATGTTGAGTTTTGTTAAACGCTTTCCTGCAAATATTGAAATGGTCATGTGATTTTTATCCTTCATTACAGGGATAAATACTACTTGGTTATGGTGTATGATTCTATGTGCTGTTGAATTGGGTCTGCTAGTATTTGTTGAGGATTTTGTACCTATGTTCATTAGGAATATTAGCGTATGGTCATCTTTTCTTACAGTGTCTGGCTTTGGTATCAGGATAATGCCTGCCTCATAAAATGACCTTGGAAATACTTCCCATTCCCTAATTTTTTGGAAGCGTTTGAGAAGGATTAGCATTAAACTTTATATTTTTGGTATAATTCTCCAGTGAAACCATCTGGTCTTGGACTTTTGTTTGGGGGGGGGTTGATTACTGATTTAATCTCCTCACTAGTTATAGATATGTTCAGATTTTCAGTTTCTTCATAACACAGTCTTGGTGGGTTGTATAATTCTAGGCATTTATTTCTTCTGGGTTTTTTAATTTGTCAGTATATAACTGTTGATAGTATAGTCTTTTATAATCGTTTTTTATTTTTGTGGCTGCAGTAGTACTCATTTGTCATTTCTGATTTTGAGTCTTCTCTCTTTCTCTCTCTCTTTTTTTTTGTCTGCTAAAGATTTGTCAATTTTATCTTTTCAAAAATCAATTTTTAGTTTTGTTGCCTTTTCCCCATTGTTTCATTTATTTCTGCTCTAATCTTTATTTTTATTTTTTATTTCATTATTTCTTTCATAGCGAATGGGGAGGGGTAGAGAACGAATCCCACAGACTCCATGCCTACTGTGGAGTCTGGCTCAGGGTTCAATCCCACAACCCTGAGATCACAAACCTAGCTGAAATCAAGCGTCAGACACTCAACCAACTGAGCCAACAAGGCACCCCTCTAATCTTTACTATTTCCTTTATTTTGCTAATTCTGGACTTAGTTTGTTCTTTTTTCCCCCCTTGATCCTTGAAGTGTAGAGTTAGATTGTTTGGGATCTTTAATCTTTTATTAACGTAGGCATTGGCTGCTATAAATTTCCTTCTTAGTACTGCTTCTTCTACATACCATAAGTTTCAATACGTTGTGTTTTTATTTTTCTTTGTCTCAAGATATTTTTTAATTTCTCTTTTGATGTCTTCTTTGGCCCATTGGTTATTCGAGTGTGTTGTTTAATTTCCACATATTTGTGAATTTTCCAGTTTTCCTTCTGCTCTTGATTTCTAGTTTCATTCCATTGTGGTCAGAAAAGATACTTGGTATGATTTCAATCTTCTTAAATTTGTTAAGACTTGTATTATGACTTCATGTGACCTATGCTGGAAAATGTTCCATGTGTACTTGAGAAGAATGTGTGATCTACTGCTGTTGGGTGGACTTTTTTGGCTATGTCTATATGTCTGTTATGTCCATTTGGTCTATATTTTTGTTCAAGCACCTCTGTTTCCTTCTTGATCTCTGTCTGGATATTCTATCCATTACTGAAATGGGATATTAAAATCTCCTAATATTATTGCATTGCTGTCTATTACTTCTTCAGTTCCTTTTTTAAAGTATTTTATTTTATGTATTTTTAAAGATTTTTATTTATTTGAGAGAGAGAGAGAGAACGTCGTCAGAGTGGCAGGCAGAGGAGAGGGAGCTGGATCCCAGGTTAGCAGATGCTTAACTGACTGAGCCACCCAGATGCCCCTACTCTCTTCAGTTCCCTTTGCTTCATATATTTGGGTGTTCTGATATTGGGTGCATATATATATTTATGATTGTTATATCTTCCTGGTGAATTGACCTTTTATTATTATATATCTTTTTTCCTTGTGACAGTTTTTGACTTAAAATCTATTTTGTATGACATAAGTATGGCCACTCCTACTCTCTTTTGGTTACCATTTGCACAGAATATCTTTTTCCATTTTTTTCACTTTCAGCCTGTGTGTGTGCTTAAATCTACAGTTAATATCTAAGCATATATTTGATTTTTTAAAATTATTCAGCCACTCCAGGGAGTTTAATCATTTACATTTAAAATGATTACTGATAAGGAAAATCATGCTATTGCCATTTTGTTAATTGTTTTCTGTATGTCTAATAGATTTTTTTGTCGCTCTTCCTTTCTTGCTGCTTTCCTTTGTATTTTGTTGACTGGTTTTAGTGACACAGCCTGATTCCTTTCTCATTTTCATTTGTGAACCTGGACGTCCATCTCCTTCCTCAGACTTGGGGAGTGTTTGGCCATTATTTCTTCCACTAAGCTTTCTGTCCCTGGAACTCCCATATTACATATATATTGATTCATTTAATGATATCCCAGATGTCTCTTAGGCTTTCTTACCTTTTTTTTTTTTATGTGTATCTCTGGCTGGATAATTTCAAATGACTTGTCTCTGAATTTGCTGGTTCATTCTTCTCTAAACTGTTTGTTGTTGAAAACTCCTGTAGTGAATTTTTCAATTCAGTTATATTCTTTAGCTCCAAAATTTGTTTGGTTCTTTTAAAATATTTTCTTTCCCTGTTGCTAGTCTTATTTTATTCATGTATAATTTTTCTGAGCTCATTAAGCATCTCAAGAAGGCTTTTTAAGACATGGATTTTCAGACCCTAATGGCAGAGATTCTAAATCAGTAGTCTATAGTGGGGCCTGGAAATCTGTATTTCTGAAAGTTTCCCTAGGTGACTCAGATGTATGCCTAGTTTTGGAAAACACTTCCAATAAACCCTCCTACTTCTCTCCAAGATGCCACCATACCAGGATTCTACCTCTGTATTATTATTATTTTTAAAGATTTTATTTATTTATTCATGAGAGACACAGAAAGAGAGAGAGAGAAGAGAGAGAGAGGCAAGGACACAGGCAGAGGGAGAAGCAGGCTCCATGCAGGGGTCCCGATGCAGGACTCGATCCTGGGTCTCCAGGATAACACCCCGGGCCGAAGGCAGGCACTAAACCAGCCAGCCACCCAGGGACCCCCTACCTTTATATTATTTGAATTATCTTGAAACACTTCTGCCTTCAGACAGCCTTCCTGGATTTAATCCTGTCTGACCACGAGTGTCTTAGGGTTCTCCCCAGCTCTCTCCAACCCAAAATGGGCTTACGCTTCCCATTTCTGTATTAATTTGGCATTTCATCCCTTCAATTTGATATACGAGTCTTAGGCCATCACTGTAAAAAACTTCTGGACTAAGTCTACCCTATTTTTTTGTTTTTATTTAATGATGAAAAAAAAAGTGATGAGTGTAAGAGCAGTAAAATTCAGGGAATCCGGGTTCACAACTGTTCTTCGTCTGTTCTTATAGGGTATAACCTCAGATAGGTAGCTTTTCCTTTCTGGGCTTCAGTTTCCTCATCTGTGAAATGAGCAGTGAACAGATGGTCTCCATGATCTTCCTTTTAGACTCTCACTCTCTCCTTTCCTCTCTTCTGCACTCCATAGCTGAGGAAGTGGCATTCTGAAGTCATTCCTGAAATTCTGCCCTAAATCAAAGGAACCAGAGGGCCCGCGAATTCTCCCTCTACCTCCCTTTCCAGGAGCAACCATGGCCCTAAGTGATGGCGACGTACAGAAGCAGATTAAGCACATGATGGCTTTCATTGAACAGGAAGCCAATGAAAAGGCAGAAGAAATAGATGCCAGGTCTGAGGAAGAGTTCAATATTGAGAAAGGACGCCTTGTGCAAACCCAACGACTAAAGATTATGGAGTATTATGAGAAGAAGGAGAAGCAAATAGAGCAGCAGAAGAAAATCCAGATGTCCACCATGAGGAATCAGGCAAGGCTGACAGTCCTAAGAGCCCGAGATGACCTCATCTCAGAGTTGCTGAATGATGCAAAGCTGAGACTCAGCAGGATTGTGGCCGACCCAGAAGTCTACCAGGGGCTCCTGGATAAATTAGTGCTCCAGGGTCTGCTCCGGCTCCTGGAGCCCGTGGTAATTATACGCTGCAGGCCACAGGACCTCCTCCTGGTGGAGGCTGCAGTGCTAAAAGCCATCCCTGAGTACATGGCAGTCTCCCAAAAATGTGTGGAAGTCCAAGTTGATCAAGAGGTGCACCTGTCTATGAATGCAGCTGGAGGTGTGGAGGTCTACAGTGGCAATCAGAGAATAAAGGTTTCCAATACCCTAGAAAGTCGACTGGATCTCTTAGCCCAACAAAAGATGCCTGAAATACGAAAGGCATTGTTTGGAGCCAATGCCAACAGAAAGTTCTTTATATAAGCCTCTGTGAAGTGAAGCTCATGTTGAATTGCTAAGCCATTAAAAGCATAAGTTATTAGGGCAAAGGAAACTAGTAATGTTTCCTCCTCTTTGTTGTTTTCATAGGAGTCTATTATCTTTCATGAAGTGCCCTCTGAATAGCTAAAAGCATATTTTGGAATAAAACCTGAAAATGCTTATAAATCTAATTCTGGTTTATCCATACATACCACATCTTCTGGTCAAATCAATAGTATAGGTTGAAGGGAATAAAAACATCTGCTCTTTAGTTTGTCCTTTGGTTGAGATGTGAATGATATTAAAGTTTTGTGGGTCTTCTGACTGCTCTAAAATTCTTTAATATTACCTGAGATGTGTTTTCCTTCTTTTGCTTCCGCTTTCTGTACTTACACTATTTAATGAAGTTTAGAGGTCTTTTTCATGTGACAGGGCCAACTTCATGGGCATACAACCAGCATAGTCCCACAGAGCTCCATGTGCAAAAGAGCTCAGCATTTGGGGTTTAATGCTCCGTAGCCAATGACTTGAAATTCTTAGTTTTATCTTTGAAAATGTGTTTTATAAGTGAAGACTGATGGGACTTTGGAGCATGTGCTAGGAGCTTGGAACCTTGGCTCATGCATGGTACCAACTACCATGGCCTACCCTCCTTCATGGGATGGGTTCTTGGCCACTCACTTTCCAGCTTGCTGCTGCCCTGAGACCCAGACTTCCCCTCCCTCACCCAGTCAGCATTGTTGCCTTCTGCCTTTGGTGAGGGCTGGATGTGCATGCAGAGAGGGTCAGGGATGTGTGCATACTCAGCAGAGTCTTAGAGTTGGGCATAATGGCGGCCATCTCGGCCCCAGAATGGCAGTTTCATGGTACATTCAGCAAGTGACTTGCTGAGAGTGAGTCTCTTGCCCACCACGTACTGAGTGTGGAAGTTTAAAGACCGTAGGATTCACCTGTCTGCTATGGATGGGGTCAGCCATGCTACTAGAATGAGAGCCATTTGGCTTGACTTCCCTGACCCCAGCCAGGGCATAGCACATAGATTTGGAGGCTGGTGGGAAGGAAAGACCCAGAACTTGTCAAGCTTGCAGGACCTGAGTCTCAGATTGGGAACTTTGGGATTTTATGAGGGTCTATACTTGTCCTGGAAAGTATCCCAGTCCATCAGACAGCTCAGTGCCTAGGGGGACTTAGATTTATCTCTCTGGTCAATTTGAGACATCTTCCAGGAGAAGCCAAGAAATACAGAGTGCATAATTTAGGTGATTCTCCATACGCTTATTGCACAATGTAAAGATAAATGATAGGGATCCCTGGGTGGCGCAGCGGTTTGGCGCCTGCCTTTGCCCCAGGGCACGATCCTGGAGACCCGGGATCGAATCCCACGTCGGGCTCCGGTGCATGGAGCCTGCTTCTCCCTCTGCCTGTGTCTGCCTCTCTCTCTCTCTCTCTCTCTCTCTCTCTGTGTGTGTGTGACTATCATAAGTAAATAAAAATTTATAAAAAAAAAAGATAAATGATAAAATTCATGTTAATGATTTAAAGTTTTAGGCTTTATTTACTTAGGCATTAAATAGCGAATAAGTACCATTATGAGTCAAAAGAGAGACTGCAGAAGAAAGGAAAAAGCTTTATATTTTAGGGCCTATTATTGTACTTTCTGAACAAAGGATTCCCACATTTTCTTTTTGCACTGAGCCTTGTAAATTATGTTGCTAGTTCTGCATATGTATGTTAATTTACAGATTAATCTATGCCCAGGCATGGCTTATGTATTAAAATAAAGGATTTTGAAGAAAAGAAGCCCCAAGCCACTCTGCCAGGACAAAGTTTGGCTTATGTGGTCAGGAACAGAAATGTTGTAAAGCTAAAACACAAAGTAGAAGACCGATTATTAGAAATCAGGCTGTCTCACAAAGCCTGGGGATAGGAATCTCTTACGGTCTCAGGAGAGGGCTGGGCCACCTGGGAATCAGAAAGCCATCTGAAATCCTCTAACTGGTGCTTCATTTTCTTTCTTTTAGGAGTGACTTTCTTTATTGCACAGCTCAAACGGTGGAGTATACATGCCTCAGAAAGCTTATAATTCTAAAGTTTACGTGTTGTAGTTCCAGAAACAAACTTCTACAATTCCACTTTCCTGAGGAGGAATACACTGGGCCCAGCTCAGGTCAGATGTCCACCTTCGCTCCGGCTGACATCTGGGGGCTGTTCTCAGAGAAAAGGGGGTCTTTGTCAGCTAGACGTTCTCTGCAAAGGGTGCTTCTGTGTGGTCTTTTTAAGTTAAGGGTTCAGTCATTTGCTGAACATTTTCTGAATGCCAGCAATGAGCTGGGCCCTTTGTTGGCTGCTAGGCTGCAAAGAGTATGTAGGGTCTGGTCCTGTCCTTTAGTTATTGACACATAAATGGATGAAGATCATGGTAATGATACAACGTGGCAGTGCCAGCCCAGAGCCCTATAAGCAGGACTGTGAATATAAGATATGGGAAGAGAAGGTCACAGAAGGCTTCTGGGGTGCTGGTAGTTGAGCCAAAGAAGGCACTTTGGGCAAAGAGGGGGGCGCATATGCGAAGGCACTGAGGTATGGAAAAGCAAGTTGTGTTAGAGGAACTGCACATAGTTGAGTGTAGTTGAGCGTGATGGAGCGTGAGGGATGTGGGGGACGTGACCACAGATGAGGCTGGGAAGATTCTGAGGTGCAGTGGGCCTTGCTCAGGAGTTAGGCTAATCCTGCTGGGTGGGTGATGAGGGTTCACTGAAGGACTTTAAACAGGAGTGCAGCCATGAGAGCTGGACTTTTAAAAGATGATGCTGGTGTCACTGTGTGTGGAAAACATGTTGGCGGGACGGAGAGGCTGGAGGCAGGAGCCCGGTTAGAGGTTATTTACCAGCCCAGGTGAGAGATGATACATACTCTATGTTCTTTTGTGAGATAGGTCAAATTCATTGATATACAGGCTGGAAGAGACTAGAATTAGTGACTTACGTCTTACCCTCCTCCCGCCCCGCCCCAGCCCTGTCCCCCAGAAAATCCTTTCCCTCGTCCAGGCTTGAGGCTCTCTGTCAGTTTTGCATCATCTCAGTTTTTTCTTATAAGAGTGTTCTTCCCCTCAGAGCCTTCCCCCCTTCTCTCATTCAAGGCCAAGAAAGCATTCCCTTCCCAGCTGCCTGGGCCCTCAGCTGCCTGCCTCCCCGGGAACCCAGACCCCACTTCCTGCTGTAAGGCAGGAGGATCTGAATCCTCTTGGCCTGCACCAGCTCTGGCCTTCTGAGCCGCCTTCAATTCATTATTGGGGCCCCTGACATGAATTCATCTCCAAAACAACTGACAGGTAGGTTTTATGAAAGTTTTATGGGAAGTTGAAGAGAGCTTTACAGAGTGCCTGTGGGGCCCAATTACCCCGAGTCCCATTCATTTGATTTTATTTAAGACTTGATGTATTCGTTTGAGAGCACGAACATAAGTAGGGGTGGGGACAGAAGCAGACTCTCTGCTGAGTGGGGAACCCTGAGTGGGGCTCCTATCCCAGGGCAGGGCCCCGGGATCATGACCTGAGCTGAAGGCAGACGCTTAAGGGACTGAACCACTCAGGTGCCCCTCTCTAAGTCCCATTTAAACATCTCTCTGTTTTTCCAAACTTTTCTCTCACCCAGAGTTGCTAGATTCTTTCTCTTTCTCCTCAAACTTCTCAGCTTCTCAACCCTTGGGCTCCGGTCTCTGTCATCATAATGTCCCCTCAGCAAAACAAAAGCTGGTGGCCAAGCGAGCCCTGGCTCCCCCAGTCCCTGGCTGCAAGGACTATACAGTTCCTGGTGAGGACTTGCCATGCACCACCTTTATTTACTGTTAGCTGCTTTTTCTACTCATCCCATCGTTTTAGACATAGCTCTCTTGGAGCAGGGACCGTGTTTTGATTCTTCCTTCCTGCATTCCCTGCTGCCTTGTTATTTTAGTGCTGACCTTGGGTGCACACCACACGTAGTAGGTTCTGAACCCAAGTCTCTGGTTGTTACATTCTTTTCCTGCCTGGCTCTGGTTTCTGGATGGAGGCCTCCGGAGTCTGTCCTCTTCAACCCATAGATAGTGCCATAGAATGAGGCAAGTGTGTGAGATGGGGGCCAAGGGAAGAGTGCCAGGACTGTAACCCGGGGATGGTGCTTGATAGGAGGATCCTATACTGCTCCTGGGGGGGGGGGGGTGTGAGGTGGGGGGGAGCTGCGAGATGGGCGGAGACTGAGCTCAAGCAGGACTGTCCCCTGCCTCCAAAGGAAACTGTGGGTTTATCGCTTTTCTTTGCTTCCCTCCCTGGGGAAACAAATGGGAGGGGCTTTGCTTTGGACCTGGGTGCAAAGGCAGGGGCTGTAGAGGGCCTGGGTCCTCCTCAGGAACCTCCACCATGGGAGAGGCAAAGCTCAGTCTTTAACACTAGCCCTGACCCGTAGGTTAGGCTGCTTGTCACCATTCTGTCAGCTGCCCTCCTGCAGGGCTCTTTGATTAAGAAATGCTTGCACTGGGCACTTTCCTTTAGTTGACTGATACAAATCAGGGCACCTGGCTGGCTTGCTCAATGGAGTAGACAACTCTTGATCTTCAGGTTGTGAGTTCCAGCCCCATGTTGGGTGCAGAGATTACTTAAAAAAAAAAAAATCTTAAAAAAAAAACCAACCCCAAACCAATGTCCACACATTCTCTAGTAGCATTAACTGTCCCACCCTCAAGAAGGCGTGTACCTCCTGTAAGGGACTCGGTCCCTGCAAGCTGAAAAGAGCAAACTGTTATAACCGCAGGCAGGCACACCCCTTCCCTAGGGCCCTCCTCATTAACACTTCCTCCTGAGGTGCAAGGGAAGCTGTTTGCTGCTGCTGCTGCTGCTGCTGCTGCTGCTGCTGCTGCTGCTGCAGGGGCTGTGCTTTGGGGCAAGGCTGCTTCTGCACCCTCTTTCCCTGCTGGTGGAGGGCCCGGGGAATCTGAGGGCCCACCAGAGCCAGGCTCTGCCCCTCCCTGAGACCTCAGCCTCAGGGACCCAGGAATCCCGTTGCCAGG